GAGAATCGAAAAAAGCAAAAAAGATCAAAGCTTACATAAAATCCGACTGAAAACGTTTTAGATATTTTCCAATTACTACAGCCTAAGGGTAAATGTATTTTCCAGAAATGCTATATAAGCCGTAAAAATAAAATTAGCCATGATATGACAGTATTATAGTACAAACAGTAAAACGTGTTTTAAAAATCAATTTTTTTTTGAAGAACTAAAATTCTCAATGGTAAAACTATCTTGCTTCGACCTAATATTTAAATGCCTTTTGTTTCCATTTGCCAGTTTCCGTGTTTTGAACATAATCGAACATTGATGTGACATGAATTAAACTGTTTTCTCCGTACTCCAAAAAAAGTTCTTTGCAACTCAATTGCTAATTTTAAATCATCAAGTCATGGCTCGTTTCCGTTGCATAACATAGCAAAATGACATATCGCCTCCCACAAAGTTTACAATTATTTAAGATGAACCTGTAGTCACCAATTAGTAGTTCCAAATTATAAAATGTAAAGTTAGTATAACTTGAAAAATATATTTCTATTAATAATAAGCTTTTAGGTATAAGCCGAGCTGAATGTACGTGCATTACAAGAAATATTGATTTTATAACAATGAATATAATATAAATTACCTCTCCATCAACAGCAGACCTCATCATATGTTCTCTGAAACTTTTCACCACATTTTCAAGTGCACATTGTCCGATTCCAGTTAATCCACCGCCTTTCAACTCGAATGGGTTGGATTCATTTCCCTGTGTTTGGGAATGTATGGGGCTGGATCCATGTGGTCTCCTAAAGCTTCTCGAGATAACAGTCTCGCCCATCCCATTTGCGATTCCGACTGTTGAGCCACTTCCATTAGGCGCGATGGATTGCTGAGAACAAAATTTCTTTCCTCGCTAAAAAGTTAGGTATTCACTTTTTATGTCATAAGTATCAAAGAGTAATTGTGTTTTGAAACACTTGAATGAACATTTAACGGTTAATTTGAAACACCCAAACAGCCTGATTGACAAAAGGCAAAAGCTTACCTGTAGTAAAGTGATAGGCGAGGAATATTGATTTTTATTGTCAATAGAAATAGATGTATCCAAATGGGGGAGAGTGTTGTAAGGACCATCTAGATAGTAAGTCTTCAGTTCTTGTAGGGCAGCAGGAGCCTGTGGTTCAATGAAGTTAGAAAAATTGTTATTTACCAGCCATTCCTGAACATTAATTGATGGTGAACTATCTGGGTTTATGGGAACCTAAAAGAACAGAATTCTAAACAGTAACTGACTTACACAATACATTTTAACGTTTCACATATGGAAGTAGTAGTGGTAGGGCATTTGACGAACTAGCACATTAGCTAAACATTAGAAGCAAAACTTTGTAAAATTTCATTAAACTTAAGTGAAATCTCCTATACAAGGTGATTCAAAATTGGTGTCGTTCTTTTATTGTCACCATAACCTCAAATTGATGTGTTAACAAAAATACTTTCTCTGTTTAACTCCAAACCAGTTTGTGCCTGCTGCGCCCAGTTTGTGCCCATTTATTACAAAAAAATATCTCGTTTGATTGGATTCTAATGTCAGTTTCCTCATTGTGCCCTCATGGCCATAAACTATTATTATGATTATTGATTATACCAACAATAATTGTCCCCATTTGTGAAATTTTTATTATAACAATAAACATATTAGAAATATTTGCAGTTCGAAACACGTACCTCTGACTCCAACAGGTGTGGACAACTATCATCAGCTTCAGATAGTGATTTATATTCTTGACTCAACGTTTTCCCTGCTGATAGAAGTATATTTGCCCAATAACGTCCATTGGATGCTTCTCTAACTTTGTTCACGTTCTGGGCAGTTTCAAGAAATTCTATGCCTCTGGGACTATTTCCGGAAGCTCCAGGTTCCAAGCCTTTTTTTGGTACGTTGTAGCTCCCTGGTTTCATGTAAACCCTACTTTACAAAGCCAGGGTTAAAAATGTTGTTAAGAACCAAGCAAGTCCTCTGGATGCAACCTTCTAGTACGCTCTTCCTCAGAATCATATTCTTCTTTGGCACAAAAATCGCCAGAATAAGTTTGATTGGCTTGATCAATAGTTTCCGTCATTGGAGGAGAATTGTTAATAGGTAAATGGAGGATTCCCCGAATGTTTCTAGAAGAGTCGCTTCCGTTAGTAACAGTAGATGTAGTAGCAGTATCGCTTGAGGTTGTAGGTTTTTTCATGGCTCCTTCCGAAGCACTTTTAACCAAATTGATCTGGAAACACATGTTATAAAATTGTTACCAATGCAGTATATTAACCAAATGTCCCAAACCGAGAATTAGGTATTTACAATCAATGAAATAATATTTCTAACTAAAAAATGTAAACTTCTTTGCAGCGTCTTATGCGGAAACACTGCGAAAGAACCGAAGTCATAATCCATTTAAGATATGATATAACAGATGTATGGATATCGATATGACAGCAATTTTATTCAGATTTTTTCAATTTAAAAAGTGTAAAATTTGGTCGCTACTTTTGACGCAAATGTTTAGTTAAATGAGGAAACTTTAAAAAGGTGAAAATATTGGAAATCGGGGCTTTTGAGGTCTTAAAAAAAATACTCAGACCCGTTAAAACATGTAGCTGTGGTAAATTTTGCTGTAATTATTACGCAAAAGAATCCTCACAAAGAAATTGAATCAAGTGAAGAAGTAGACTAATGAAACTCAGATGTGAGACTAGTTAATTCCCTAAATTTGGCAATTAACTCAGAAGTGCTACTATTTCACTTCTCCAACTTTTAACATACGTACATTTTGTTTTATTATCTTTGAATCATTTGTGAAAAACCAGTTACCTGTGATGGTATTAAGTTATTAACCGAATACACATTGGCCCCTGAACTGGACGTATTAAGATTTGTGTCTAGATTGTAGAAAATTTTTGTCAACTGTCCAGCCAGTTCCATAGTTTCTTTCTCCCATCGTACATAACAGGACCGAAATTCAGGTGTAAGTTCTTTTTCAATCTTTCCCAAACTTGATCCTAAAAAAATAATTTACAAACTTTCATAATAAGCCAGTTAGTTTTCCGGTGAAGGTGTTTACAAAAGTTTTCTAATAAAACAGCCGAGTTGGTTACTCTATTCTCCGTTCCCAAGAGTCATCAAAATTCTATGAAAATTATCCGATGGTGGAAAATGTCATTTTTAGATTTTACACAAATTCTACAAGCCCGGCGCAAATTTAATTGGAATAATGATATTATAGATCGAATATTACAAATCAACTACATCAGCACCATTAAAACTGTGGGTTTTTTCCATTCAGAACAAAAGTTTAGTCATACATATAGCACAGTTTCATATTTTCCCAATTATGTAATTCCAAAACCGTAAACTAATCGGATGAAACTTTTGAAATTAATTTACGTTAAATTTTGATAAAATATTGGCGGTTCCATTTAACTAATTTTACTTGGTTACTATCACACGTTTATGACGCACTTGTTCTTTTGGACAATAATTTTCAAATGCGCACCTCTTAAAATCTAAAACTTTCGAGGAAAACATTTTCTGACTAAATACTTATTTACTGATATGGGCAACCTTTTATAGAGCGGAGCTGCTTTGGCATGAGCTGAAACTTTCGGAATTATTGCAACCATTTTTCAAGTTACGGATACTAGTCTATATTCGTGGTATGCTGTTTGTAAAAGGGAATTTACTTCTTTATTTTCGGTTTTTCTTTGTTATACAGGCTGGTTCATTTTCCAAGAACCAACCAAACATCTGGTAAATTATAGCGAATACAGAAAATAGAAAGAAAATGTGTCATACAAATGTTCTGTAATTGCTAATAATTAAAACTTAAGAAGTAAAAGTATTAAAATATTTTACACTCACCATCTCGATTTTCCCAGTATCCTTTCAAAATATGCCAACAATTAGTCAGCCGTACGAACGCATAAATAAAATCTTTAGTGGCCCATGGGATGCCCTGGGAATGAATATTTGAAATAGTAGTGCAAGGTTTTAATATTTCGGATCTGGTTCGGATGCACAAGTTTTGAATGTTACGAAAGCAAGGTCGGTTGCGATTTCTGTAAGCAATCTGTTCCGCAGTTAGGCAGCTCTTTTCCAAAAATTTGACGAAGTTTTCTTGAGTCGTTGGCTCAGCAGTACTCTAACATATTAAGGCAAACTTTATATGTTATCAATATTGGCATAGATTTCATTACCAGCAGTTCGTTCGCCGGAGGAGTAATTTGCCCAAAATCGTACCCTTCTGGAGGATCATTGATTCGATCAACTTCTGCAGTTCCGTCTTCCCTTTCTCTTCTGTCCTTAACAGCAGCTCCTGCATATACAAGATCGATGGTACTGGAACTAGAATTTGCCGGGCCATAAATCGACGTATTCGATCCGCTAACGTGCCCCATAGGAAGACCGTATTGATTGCCAAGATTGAACTGGGTATACTGATAGTGTTGTAAGTAGGGCCTGGCTACCGTTGAGGTGGGATGATAAGGCACTAGCGATGGTATCGGAGCCCTATAGCCTACCGTAGGGTAGTACGATGGGTATATACCTCCTTGGCAGTTACATACATGATGCATGTGTAAGTGGACATTTTGTTGCTGACTGTTCCCATTCTCTGAACGGTTTTGATCCATTAGTTTTCTTGTTAATTAATTATAGAATGCTAAAATGTGGAAAAGAATTAAGAGTATAACAGATATAGCGTTTTATCATTGACTTTCTTAATCGGTTACAGCTGTGTCATAAACAACATAATATTTTGTCCTATTAAACATTAAATTGGGCATACAAGTACATATTTGGAGAGGCAAGTTGCTATCAGCCACAAAAAAAAAATTAACCAGGTAATTTTGGATTGGTCCCTTAAAATAGGTCAACTTATACCAGAGATCAGCCTAATCTACTAATCTCTGCTTATACCATCATTACATGTGTAYAAAAATAAGCATGCAATCAAGGGCGAATCCAAGATCCCTCTTGTGCTGGRTTTATCTCGACTARCGATAATTTTTCTAATTTCATAGACAACAAAAGACTGCATTTCTACTACAYGAYCCACCCCCTGCCTTAAAAGCTGGGCCCGCATGAAAACTGCTCAAGGTATGATATAAAATTTCGCTTTCTGGGTCGAAACTACTCGAATTTCCTCGCTCATGTTATGGCTGAATYAAATTTTCAATTCTTTATGCAACGATACCAAAACGAATTCAAACGTGGCTCAAACGGGGCTTGAGAATCTTCGAAAAAAMGGCAGCGTCAWGTTTGAGTCGAGTTTGCAACTCAAAAAAAAGTACGCAAATGTAAAACTGTTTAAAATCATGKKTTTTTTGAGAAAACTGCAGMATTTCYTTATCRATGGTTCACTTTCTAAAAAGACCATTTAGTTCTCTCTGGAATKATGTAAAAATWRTCGTTCTTTTTTTTCTTTCGTWCTCTAATTTTTATTTCATATTTTTTATTAGGTATTAGCAACAAATTAAAATTATTCAGGCCTAAAAAGACAATTTGCTGCAAGCAGTTAGAARACAGCAATGTYTTARGACTAGTTTTACAATKAATGAATGATATACGGTCATATAAAAAGGTAAAAGACCGAAGAAACAGTAGTCGCGTCGCCCACATTTGAAGCGCTTATTGCCCTGAAAACAGGAGAGACTCTAAAAAACGATCTTTGAAAGTTTTTATGACGAAAGGGCGGTTTGACATTATAAAAATGCATTCAGTAAACTCAGTTTGAAGCAAAAAAACCGTTTCTTACTTCATTTGAACTAGTCCGTATTAAATACCACGCTCAACATACTTACTTAGTAGGAAATCGACAATGAAAATAAATTGAAATGAGCGAATGTTTGTCAAGGGGTGAATAATAAATGTAATAAATACTATTGGATAAGAATCCAATTATACTATTGGATAAGGTCGATAAAGATATCGATCTTAGTTTTAATAAAATCAACCCTAACAAAATAGTTCTGCTTACCTTGTATAAAATCGTATTGTCCTTACCTCAAGGGTTACACAAAAAAACGAAACGTTTAATCTAAATGATTGAAATACTACTGATTAGAGCATCACGAGTGTCGATTTTTAACTTAACATAGAGAAAGTGTTTTGGTAAAATTAGACTCAAAAACGACAGCTTTCCAACGTACACATTTGTTTTGTTTGATAATAAATATGGTTGCTTAGCGATACAACAATGGACATGCTACTCGGATTATTATCACCAGAATTGTGAAAAATAATTTCAAAATGGATTTAAAACTTTTTTATCTAACTATCAAGCAAAATATTTAAATGAACTTTATAAAAATAAAAAAAATAAATTGGGTGTGGGCGTAGATGTTAGAAGCGGTTTTTACAAAACTGGCATATTAATAATCTTAGAAAAAATCTAAATAATGGGAAAAATCAAAGAGCTTATTTTTTTAGGCGTACCTACTCTATGTTCCATAAATATGTATCAGGCGCTTGATGAGTGAAAGCCATTATAAATAACATAGACCAAAATTTTAATATTTATTAAAAATTGTATCCAAAGTGGCAGTTTTCAATTTGTCATATACAGTTGAGTCCGGATATAACGAACTTGAAAAATGAACTAAAACTTGATCGTTATATCCGGAGTTTGCTATAAGCGAATAATAATATAAAAACACATGGTGTATTTTATTTCGTTATTTTTACATAGAGTAGTAGAAGTTAGTCGGTAGAACTAAAAAGAACACAAAAAGATAAACAGAAGACAATTTGAAATCTACTTCACAAGGTCTGTAATTTTTGCTTGTACATTTCTGTTGCAAAAATAGATGTTATTTTTGTAGTTTTCAAGATCACAAAATGACTCCCAAATATGATTAGGAACTTGGCGTGATTGTAGAAAATTCCTAGTTTCCGACACTTTTTTTGTCATTTCAGAAATGGTTGGAACAGCATTAGTATCTACAGTAGAATCAGTTTCACCTAAATCGTCATCCTCTTCATTATCGCTTAAAGCTGTAGATGAGGTTACGGAGTCTATAATTTGCTCATCGATCAACATTTCTCTTGTAAGAATGCCATTATCAATGCTCACATATTCGAAGAAATGGAAATCACGCAGTTTGGTTTTAACTTGTTCTTCGACAAAATTGGGCACATCTTCATCTGAGTCATACTCGTAGTCAGAGTCTTTATGCTTTTCTAACCATTCATTAAGTGGAATTTTATCGTCTGGTTCATAATCATTGTCTTTTCTTACAAATTCACCATGCTTAAAGAAATTTGCAATGGTTTTTCGGCTAACTTTTTGCCAAGCTCTATGAATGAAATTGACTGCATCTAAGAGATTTACAGAAAATGTTTCATTTTTATCGA